GAACGTGTGTGTGAGAACTGTCTGATCCATCAGGCCTGTTAGTGCTGTCGATCTGCCTACAGGGATGTGATGTATGAGGCTGCGCTTATTAACAGCATCAGTCCAAGGGAGTACAGTGTAATTACAGTACATAAGATTTTACTGAGCCACTACTTCAACAGTGCAGCTACTGGAACTATTCATTAAAACCTCCTGAGAGGAAACAGCAGCTGGTATGCAATCAGGGACTGAACAACATCAGAGAATAGAAAGTCTGTCTGTCACACTTGTAAACTCTTTCATCCCTTTCCTGTTTTCTTAGACAGCTATTAAATAAGCAACTTGTTCAGTGACTTCATCCTCCTGTGCAGCTCTCACACATCTCCACGGAGAGACCACAGTCTCCCTCCCTCTTTCTTTACCCCATGAGAAAACATCAAATGCAGGAAAAGCTAAAATAAGAACACAACTTGTGGGATTCGCTGTCTCTTAAAACTTGACAGGCGTAAATCCCCAGAGGATGTGCGCTCCCTTTCAACAACAAACCCCCGCGGTGGTCTGATCAGACCCAGCCAACTGTTTAATTCACTAAATTCACCAGATGAACTGCATGAGCTACAGGACTTCTTCCCATACTGGAGAAACAGGTCGCAGCGAAGATCAAAACCGACTTGCTGCTGCTGCCTGAACTTCTCTCTGCCATGCTGTAGGCTATGCGTTTATTCAGAGAGATAAAAGAGAGAGAGCTCCTTCAAAATGAACAATGGCAAAAATGAAGGCAGATTTCATTACTTTTTTTGAGGAATAGGCAAAATCTGGAAACTATTAATCATTTTTTGAACAGTTTTAATAATAGTTCAAGTAATTTTCAAGCAAAATGACCAAAATTAAAGGTTATTTTGCTTCTTTTCTCTGCTTTACATCATTGTAAACTGAATCTTTCTGTTCTGGACTGCTGGTCAGACAGAACAGAACATTTCAAGGCATCATCTTGGACTTTTGGAAATTGTAGTTAGCATTATTTCACAGTTTTCTGACATTTTATAGACTGCGTGATTAATTGGTTAAACAAGAAAATGTTAAATCATTGTTGTTTAATAAAAATACTCCGTAATTGTAGACCTAAATTAGGTATTTGTGTTTGGATTCTGAACAATCAAAAGAGATATTTAAACATACTTCAAGTATCTGGATTCATTCTAGCTTTATAAAAAGTATCCTGTTGATCATGTTTGAGCAATTTACATTCTGCCACTGGCTATTATATCAAGACAAAGAAGAAAAACACTTTCTTTCTTAACGAGCTGATTTATCATCATGTAGACAGTTAAAAAGTCTCATCAGCATCATATGTGTCAGCCAAATACAGTGTGCCCCCCAATTGTTACCACATACCCTTTCAGCCAGTGATGTCTTAGTGCAATAATAAACCACTGGGGTCCCTTTCAACAAAAGAACGCACTCATCAGTCCGCTCTCTTTCCCAGAAAGCGCACAGAGCCGCTCACCTTCTCCACCTGTCCCACAGGAGCCGAGCAGCAGCGAGGCGACCAGCGCAGTAATCCCAGCGAGTCTTTTACTCCCCAAAGGCATGTTGAAACGATGGGATGCTGCAAAGTATAATCCCAGCTGTCGGAAGGGGACACAGTCCGTCCTTCCTCCTCCTCCTCTGCTCCTCTCCTCTCCTCTCCTCTCCTGTTCGCTGCTGTACTCTGCTCTCCTCCAGCTCCGCTCCGGTGCGCTGCGCCGCAGTAGCCCTGCTGCCACTGTTATGGAGGGGCCGTCCGGTGGGGAGGATGCTCTCACACCGCCTGCCTCCGTTAAGTGATGGAGGGGAAAGAGGAGGGAGGGCTTTTTACAAGGCTGTTGCGGGTCCGAGCAGAGCGCACCGCCTCCCTCACTGAGGTCCTGAAGAAGCTGAGAGAGTTTCTGGAGGGAGTCCCAGGACCGGTTCATACAGCACGGAGAGAGCATGTGGCTGATAACATGTTCTGATGTTTAACTCTTAATGCAGCTGTGCTCTCGATCATCTGAACGCAATATAATTCTCACATTTCTTTGCAAGGACCAGGGATGAAGCACCAGATTATAGAGACAATATGACCCTGGACATAGACATATAGAAGCCCCCCTCCTAAATATAAGAGCTAGACAAATAGACTGGAAAAAGTACTATTATTGTTTTGTATCTTGTTTGTAGTGGTTTTGCGTGTAGTACTGTGTCTTTGTAGTTGTTTGGTGCCTCTCTGTAGTCTTTTTGCCTCTGTTTGTGGTCATTTTATGTGTGTTTGTGCTGGTTGTTCCTCCCTTTATAGTTGTTTAGTGTCTTTTTGTAGTCGTTTTGCATCTCTCTAGTAATTTTGCTTCTCTGTGGTAATTTTATGTCTGTTCAGTTTGTGGGTGTTTTTCTTTTTCACAGACATTTTGCAGGTGAAGTCCAGGGCCCCCTTGGATCTCTTGGGCTCCTGGGTCTCCAGTAATTCATCCAAGGATAAACTCACCACAACTACTTTTTAAATGAGCCTTTGAAACATGATTCCAATACATCGAATGAAATTGGACATGATGAGCAAAGGATCATATGATTTGATCAAATCCACCTTTTTCCTACCTACAACGCACAAAGCTTTTGCACTATTTATATTTAATTTCCACTTTAG